TATATATATTTTTTTTTTCCAAAATGAAATGATAAATATTATAGTGATTATATTCACACAATAATTTTTATTTTTTGCACCGTATTTTAATTACACTTAAAGTTTAAACTTTACTCATTATAGCATTTATGTCCCTAACGATTTTTAACTTCATTCTTATCCTCAAACTTTCCATTAATTAACACATTTGATTTTTGGTAACAATTTTGTCTAAAATTTAATTAAAATGACATAAAATAACTTATGTTTTCATCATATTTTTAAAAAAAATAATAAATAAAGGATAACAAAATATTTTTTTCTCTTTCAAAAGTATGAGAACAAAATATCTTGATATAAATCATCGTCAACTAATTAATGAAAGTTTGTATATAAGAATTCGACAAAAATGTTAAGAAAATAATTGTTACAATGAAAAAAAATGAAAGAATTTAATTGCGATTAAAATATGGGGGCAATAAATAAAATTTATCAGGTCAATATTTATCCTTTTAGATGAACACAACGTGTCTTCAATTATTTTATCCTATCATTATAAAATGATGTTTGAGATTTGAAGAAGACGTTAGAAAAGAAAGAACCTTTTCCACCATCGGTGCGTCTATAAATAAGCAGATATCCCTACAATCTACTCACTTCTAAAAATTCAATATGGAGAGAAACACGATGTCGGTTGAGAGCTACAATGATTTCCAAGCACTGCCGGAGGGTTGTATAGCCACGGCGCTGTCGCTGACGAGCCCCAAGGATGCCTGTCGCCTGTCGGTGGTGACTCCGACATTCCGATCTGCGGCGGAATCCGACGCCGTTTGGGAGCGGTTTTTGCCGCCTGATTACCGTGACATCATTTTACGTTCAGTTGACGGTTATGATTCGGTTCTTGCTAAATTTCGATCCAAGAAAGAGCTTTATTTCCACCTCTGTGATAATCCTATCATCATCGACGGTGGCAATAAAGTAATGATATAAATTCTTGTGATATTAGTTTTCGTCAATTTTGCGTAAATATTTATTAAGCCGTTTTACCTGGATTTATTGTTGGGAATCTGCCTTAAAAATATCATTCGGATTGTCTTTTGTGATTGAAAAATAGGTAAATTTAATAACTTTCTCTACGAAAGGGAGGTTGGTGTAGCTTGGTCATTATCGTCGAACCTGATCAAGAAATTTTGAAAAATATACTTGAAATTTACATTATAATGGACATGAATACGTATAGGTTAAATTTTTTGGTCCTCACTTCTTAGAATGATGAATTTTAGTGGCGTTCTTACTGTTGCAATTGTTCTATGGTTATATTTCCAAGATCAGTGGCATAAACCTCAATTTATGTTTTACAGCATTGAATATTTTTTGCCTCATAATGTCCAATGTTCAATAATTTTTATGCCTCAATGCCCAATGCTCAACCAAGGTACAAATTGACTAAAGGTTTGTTTATAGTTGTCACTTGTGATGGCGTCTCTTTACATTTTGATCTCATTTATTCTAGTTGGGTATGCATCCTAATGCTTCTCTTTAATTGCAGAGCTTTTCATTGGACAAAGGGACAGGAAAGAAGTGCTTTATGCTCGCTGCAAGGGACCTCTTGATTGTGTGGGGTGATACACCTGAATATTGGCGATGGATCCCTTATCCAGAGTCCAGGTTTTACAGTTATCCTGCATAAGAACAAGTATCTTTTCTTTCTATCAATTATTTTGAATGCTGATAGCTCATTGCACGTTTTATTTCAGATTTCCTGAGGTGGCAGAGCTTCTTGATGTGTGTTGGTTTGAAATTCGTGGCAAAATAAACACTAGCATGCTCTCTTCAGGAACTACATATGCTGCTTACCTTGTTTTCACTTCAAAATCAGGAATATACGGTTTTGAGTATCAACCTGCTGAGGCTACGGTAGGAATTAGTGGGCAGGATGGTGTAAAACGAACGGTGTGTTTAGATCCAGACGGAGAACAAAGGCATAGGTACCAGATTGTACCTAGGCGCATATTTTTCAATCATCGGTTGGCTCATATATACAGACGGCGAGGTGATTTGGCCTCAGAGCGCATTACCGAGTACCCCAAGGTTAGAGCAGATAAGTGGATGGAAGTTGGGTTGGGAGAGTTTTACGTGGACGGAGAACAAAATTTGGATATGGAAATAAGTTTGACAGAGACAAAGGGTGGAAACTGGAAGAATGGTGTCGTTATTCAAGGGATTGAGATCAGACCAAAAGCTGAGTGAACATTGTAGCTACAAACTTCATTAGGTACCACTTTGGCACATGCTTTTTGTTGGTTTATTACTTTTTTTTTTTTTTTTTTTTTCTTTTTTTTTTTTTTTTTTTTTTT